CACAGGAGCTGTGTGAACGGCATGAGAAGGGCGTGCTGCACAAGCACCAGCGTGCACTGCACAAGTACAGCCTGACGAGGAGGCAGATGCTGAGCACTGCTGTGCAGAGCCGTGAGCCTGACGCTGCGGAGCAGCTGGAGTCCCGCATCGTCGAGGTGCTACTGGGGGCAGGGGCGGGTGGCCCGGGGCTGCAGGCCTGGCCTGGCTGGACCGTGGAGCTGTACTTCGGGGCCTGGCCCCTGAGCTTCTGGCGCGTCGCTGCCCGGGGCCGGTGTAGCCGGCGGTGGGGGTGGGCGGGCGGCCCTGCGGTGCCCAGAGTAGAGCCCTCTGGGCACCTGGTTGGGGTGAGTGGCCTGGAATTTTCCTCAGCGCTGATGCAGGGAAGGGCTTGAGGCCCCGGGCTCGGGGAGAGGCCGTGTGTTGTTGTGGCGCTCTGCAGCATCTGCTGGGCCAGGTACAAGGGGCGGCTCCTCTCTCTGCAGCAGGAGAACGCCATCCAGACCTTGGAGCTTCGGAGCTACTTCTCCTTGTACTGCCTGCACCAGGAGATGCAGCTGGTCCACGTCTACCTGCCCCTCACCTCCCACATTCTCGGGGCCTTTGTCAACTCACAGATCCAAGGGCACAAGGAGGTGGGTCGGCCAGCCCCTTGCTGTCTGGGAGCCTGGCACTCCTGCAGCCGGCCTTGCGGCATTGCCGGGGAGCACGGGGTCTGTAAACAGGCGGGGTTCACGTCTGCTGTCTCACACGTAGGCAGAACAGCAGTGGCAAAGTTGTCCTCACGATTCTTGGAGGGTGGGGGGCAGCGTGAGACCACGATGGAAGCATTCCTCCTCTCCTGGAGGGATTCTGGAGTCGGGTAAAGTGCAGCATCCCCTGGAATGGAGAGAAGAGAGGGTGGGGCGTCGGTGAGAGAAGGCAGGGGTTGGCGCAGACCCCGGGTCCGTGTCCTCCGGCCGGCGGCTCCTGCACTGCTGGGAACGAGCCCTCTGCTTGGCCGGAGACGTGGCAAGCTCCGTGGACACCTGCTGGCCCCAGGAACCCAGAGCTGTGTAGTGCTAGCTTGTCTTGGACTCCTCGCGCCTCTGTGAATGGGGGCAGGCGTGTCCCTCTCCAGACAGCCTAGAAGAGGGTGTGTGCCTAGGGTTGAAGAAACTCGTGTACAGTCCCCGTTTGGTTCTGCCTTTGCTGGCTGCTGCTGACGTGGTGTGTGCTGGGTCGGGTCAAGGCCTGGTGGCAGCCCCCGCAGCACAGTCACCTGCTGGGGGGGGTGGGGCGCGGCTGCCCGTGGCCACCTGTAGCTTCCTGGTCCCTTAGGGGTGCTCAGGCCAGAGTCCCTAAAGCCTGGGCTGCAGTCCCGGCTCTGCGCCTGTTAGAACTCTCCAGCCTCGGTGTGTTTAATCCCTGTGGCAAGTTTCCGTTGCTGAAGGACGGTGTGTGCCGCGCGCCTGCCCGGCCTCCAGGATCAGCAGGGGACCCGGAGGGTGATGGGCTACAAGCGTCTGAGACTGCCATGTCCCCATCCCTGGGGAGCGTCCCGACGTGTCAGCCCGAGAGGAATGGGCCTCTGCCGCTCTGGGGGAGGCCCGTGCAGGGCCCCGTGCGGGTGGGCTCGGGTCTGGGCAGGCTGATCTCCGAGCCGCCCTCCTCACCGTGCCGCTGGAGTCCGCTCCTCAAGCTGGATACCAGCGTGTGAGCGAGCGAGCGCTGCTGCACGTCTTACCCCCCCTTCCTCTCTGGCGCGGCGTGTCCTGTGTGACCCGCCGCCCCGGGAGGCCAGTCCTGGCCGAGCCCACCTGCCGGGCGCGCGTGCGGCGCACCCCGTTCCTCCGCTTTCGGTGTCCCCTGTGGAGGAAGGGGCTGAGATGTGGCGAGGGGAAGGGCCAGCTGCCCCCTGGTCCGGTCTGGTGGCATGGGGCTCCTCGGGGGTTTCTCACCCTGTCGTGCTCCCTCTCCTCCAGATGAGCAAGGTGTGGAACGACCTGAAGCCCAAGCTCAGCTGCCTCTTCGCGGGACCCAACAGTTCCCTGACCCCACCGAGGCCCCTGGAGGACGGCGTGTCTCCTCAGTAGTGCCAGTGGCCTGGGGCGGGAGCCCGGGCGGCCTCACTAAAACCTCTTTCCAAACGGTGTGTTCCTGTTTAATTCCCTTCAGACAGCGGCTGCCTCCCCCACCCCCCAACCACGGGGTCCCCGGTGTTGGGCTGATGCCCGGGCCAGGAGGGGCCAGGGTCTGGGTGCTGCCCTCCTGGGGAGCAGGGCCGAGGACACGACCCCAGGGCTCTGAGTGTCCACAGAAGCCAGAGGCCACAGGGATCTGCTCAGCCGCCCCTGCCCCTCACACTGTGCCTATGAGTCTGGCGGGGAGAAGTTGAGGGTCCCTGGAATGGTTTTCTCTGATTCCCAGAGGTCACGGTGGCAGGATGGTTTCCACATAGCAGGTGCCGGGAGGGGGGGGCATGGGCAGGGGGCCCCCCAGGGGCTTAGAGCAGTCAGGAGGGTCTGGATGAGCTGACCACACAAAGGGCAGGACTGTCGCCGTGTCAGATGAGAGGTGGCTGTAGCTGGCACGTCCCTGGAGGCCAGCCGGCCGTCCTGGGCCGGTGTAGGGCGGCAGTGTGAGTGTGCGTGGGGCGGGGACTCGGGGGCGCTGGGTGCACAGACGGCGTTGGTTTCCAGGGACAAGCCCCAGGGAGTGCCTTGGGGGCTCTGGCCTGGCCTCTAGGGTGAAGTGTCCTGTGTCCCTCCCTGCGTGCACGCTCACTCTCTGGCCTGTGTGTGCCTGGTGGTCTGCGATGGCGGGGACAAGGTGAAGTGGTGCTGTTTGTCCAAGTGCAGCAACGGCTCCATCCTCTCAGCTGCCTGGACGCCCCTTTCTCTGCAGACTGCACCCGGAGGCCGGAAGGACAGAGGAGCGCGGGTGGGGGGCGGTGTCCTGGCTGGACTCTGCAGGAAGGGCCCGTGTTGCCGTGGCTGACCCGCTGTAAGCTGGCCTCACCTACTTTACGCACTCAGACCCCTCCTTCTCACCTCCCTCCGGCACCCGCAGGTCCAGAGGGCTCTGTTCCAGGAGCTCTGTGGCTCCTGTGTGCTTAGGGCCCCGGGTGCTTCCGGCTCTGAATCCCTTTTGTGTAAACATAGGCAGGGTGCTTTCTCCCAGGCCTGCAGCCCTTTGAGCTCACTGCTCCCTGGCCCTGAGCGGTGCTGGAGGAGGTTCTTGACCGCACTACAGGATTCCTGAGATTCGTGCCTTCCAGGGGGGAGCGCAGAGTCCTGGGGGTGTGCCCGGGTCTGACGTCCACCTGTGTATCCGCACACAGCACAGGGGCCGAGGGTAACTTCTCTACCCACAGACAGGTGTGCTTCCCCGAGGAGACCATGCACACCATGGTCTGGGGGAAAGTGTCCTTTCGGTCTGGCCAGACGACCGGGTCAGGCCGGGACTCGGACCCACCCCACGTGTAGGTTCTGCCTGTGCCGGCGGAACAGCCGTGGGGGTGTGTGTGTGTGGGGGGAAACCTGTGCCCCCCCCAGCCCGAGGCCCCATGACCGCGGCTTGTGCCTTCCTGGGCTGACAAGAAGGGGCCGTGCATCTGCAGAGCCCAGCACACTGGGGGTCGTTTTGGTCAGTGGCCTGTTTCTGGGTGCTGCTTGTGTTCTCACGCCCCACTGTAGAGATGGGTTCTCGGGCGCTGGGAGCGGGTCTGTGCTGCCCCACGGGGCTGCTCCTGCGGCCCTGCGTGCACTTGAGCTACAAAGCGTGACCTCTGAGCCTCCTGTTCGTCCCTGTCCGATGCTGCTCACCTGCCCGTGGCCTGCATGTGGCTGGCGAGGGACAGGCGATCCCAGGACAGTGGAGAGCAGGCCCCGCCTTGCACATGCTGGGGTTGGGGGCGCACGCGCTGGGCAGCAGCTCGAAGGCGGGAGGGCCTCCTCACCCAGGTCACCAGGGAGACTTCCAGCACTAGAGACTTGCCCTGTGCTTTCTGGAGAGGACTTGCTGGTGACTCCATGTTCCCTTGGCTTGGAAACGAGGAGGGGCTCTTGCCTGGACGGGAGTTGCTGGTCCATCCCCTCCCTCCCCCTCCCAGGCCCTGCAGGGAGGTCGACAGATGCAGAGGCTTGCTGGGCTGGGGCTGGGGGTGGGGGTGGCATGTCCTCCCTGTGCCCTCAGCTGGGGACAGCAGCAGCCACCTTTTTCTGCACAGAGCCTCCCTGTGCCTGAGCTGCAGGGCCTTCTTTGTCTTCCATGGCCTGCATGCCACGGGGACAGAGCCCTGCTCCCGGACTCCAGCAAGGCTGGAGTGGGACCCCACCCAGGACCTTCCAGCCTGGACCCTGCTTGCTCGCTCGCTGTCGCCAGCAGGTGCAGAGCTGGAGCGGAAGACAGTTCTGATGCGCGCGCGGGACTCTGGTTCTGTCTGCCCTTGAGGCCCTTCCTCCCTCGGTGACACAGTTTGATGTATGGAGCACTTTATAAGAAAGGCTGTAGGGATCAGTTACTATTACGCCCAGTAAACTGGAATTGTTCACAAATGGCCTACGTTCCAAAGTTTTTATCGATAAACACGAACAACCATTAAACCTGTTGATGAAAATTGAGTAAATTGTGCGTTCTCTGCCTCCCCCCTTCCTGGTAGTCAGAGATGTGGACGAGAACACCCTGTCCCTTGGGGTCACGTAGGGGACAGCCTCCGGTGCTGTAGACCAGGGTTTTAGCCCTGGGCCATGACTGTTCCTCAGTTTCCCCTTGATGGAGGGGTGGTGAACAAGGAGGGTACAGCTGTTCGCCCACTGGGTCCCAACAAGAGCCCACGGCACCGCATAGGGCAGCACCCAGCCCTCCAGCTGTCCCCTCAGCGCTGCTCTGTCCCAGGGTGTGGTCACAGCCCAGCTGGGGCCCCGTGAGGAATGTGGAAAAGGTACAAGGTCTTTATTTTCACCTCCGTCCACCCCACCCCACCCCCAAGACCCCAGCTCTGCCTCGGGGCTCAGTGAACGGGTGAAGCGGGTCCCATGGCCTGCAGGTGCCAGTGCACTTCTGCCTCTACGCCTCGTCCACCTCGCGTAGCGTGTAGTCCAGGATGGTGTCGGGGTCCTGGAACTTGAAGTACCCGTGGAATTTCTTCTTCTGAAGCAGGAGGGGAAACCAGTAGCTGTCATCGGGCCACATGTCCGAGAAGGGGATCTGGTCTAGCTGGAACCACCGAGGGCGCATTTCTGTAGCAGGTGGAAAGAGCACACACGTTCCACTCGGGCTTAAACTGCCCGTCAGTGAGCGATGACCAGGCAGGTCTGTGTGGGGAACCGGGCGTGCTCGGGCTCAGTCCTCCTGGCTGTGTCACTGTCACTTTACGGAAGAGGAACGAGGCTCAGAGCTAGGTGCTGGCGCGGTGCCTGCCTCCCGGGACCCGGACCTGGCTTCCCCTCGCCCGCCGGGGTGGGGAGGGACGGACTCCAAGACTCACCATCGCTCTCCACGGGCGTCCCCTGGACACTGTCTGTGCAGAAGATGTGCACGTCCATCAGCTCAGGCTCGCCCACGAACTCAAACACGATGTGGCCCACCTTGTGAAGCACGTCCACGGTCAGACCGCTCTCCTCCTGCAGCTCCCTGCGGGCGGGCGGGGCGGGTGACCCTTACAGCAAGGCTCTGGGGTGCAGAAGAGCAGGGCCCGCGTGGGTATGCCGGGAACGCAGGAGCGCTTCCCCACCTGGCGACCTGGCGGGACTTTGCAGTCATTTGGGGACCTTTCAAATACTGATTCTGTTCAGAGGTTCTGGTTCAGGGTGCACAGGCTGACCCAGCTCAACAGCCCGTGAGCCACGGGGCAGCCCAGCCTGGCTGAGTTCAGCTGCTGGGGGGTCACGGGGGTGGGCGGTGGAGCTGGGGACCTCCCAACCCTGTCCAGTTCCTGCTCTTCCCACAGGATGGCAACAGCCACACGGATGCTTCTCTCCAGGCTGCAGGCTCTGGGGACCTGAGCCCTGAATCCCCTCTCCGCACACCTGTGTTGAGAACCATGGCCTCCCAAGGAGATACCCCAACCCTCCAGCCGGCTCCCCTGTGGCTGATCACAGGACAGGGGCTTCGGGCCTCCTCCCAGGGACCCCTTTCCCACCCAAGCACAAGTGTATGCGCGACAGCAGAACCAGGCTGCCCACCCAGGACGTTCTGATGCTGGTGTCAGTTTCGAAGTAGCGCCCAAATACACGTCCGTGGTAGATAACGTGGCCAGCACCCCTGGACGCCTCCCCGGAGGAGCCCTTGTGACCATTTCTGTGTGATCTTTGGGCCGCCTCCTCCGCGCATCCCTTCACATGCCCGTGCGTCTCACGCCAGAGCAGAACCACCCCCCACCCCGCACGGAGCTCGGCCAGTTTCCCAACTGGCGTGGATCACCGATGGTAACGGGCCAACTTGCTGTCGCGAGGCGCCAGTGAGCGGCAGGTTCGCGCGTGCACCCCTGGACCGCTCACGTCCGCCTGGCCAGCCGGCCCCTTCCCTCGTCGTTCACACGGCCAACGCTTTCTGGAGGCTCTGCGCTCCCCCGGGCCGCGGAGCTCCATCTGTTCCTTCCTGAGTCTCGCTTCCCTACTGCCCCATGTGTATTTTTGTTTCTCTGAGTGCTTTAATTATGCCTGACCATTTATAGCTGTATGTAAAGAATGGTTTTTTTTTTTTTTTTTTAGCTTTGATCTCCAAGTTCTGTTAGGAACACAATGCATAATTGCTTCCTGTGCCTGGAATGAGAAGCCAGGGAAACCACTTTGCTCATTAAACACACACACACACACACACACACACACACACACACACCCCACCCCCACCCCCACCCCGGGTCTTAGTGGTCTGATCCCAGCAGATGCCTTCCTCTGCTCGGAACCTACCAGAGCTGCCGGGAAGGCCGCAGTGGAGTCATGTGAGCTGGCTGCCGGCAGACCAGGCCCTAGTGGTTCTGAAAGCCGGAATTTATTCACTGACGTGGTTCATTAAAATTAGACTTGCCTTAAAAAACATGGTTGTGTGTGTTCACTTGGGGGTGCAAATGGCCCCCCAGTTAAATGTCCTGGCACCCCGCGGGGCCTCCCCCAGCACTCCGGCAGCAGGCTGGTGGGGCTTGCTTTGAAAAACTTCACCTAGTGATTTCATGTTTTGACTAGTTTTGGTTAATCTTCCCCAAATACACAGCAGTGCACGAAGTATCAATAATCTCACTTCCCAGGCTGGGATAATTAGCGGGGATGACAGTTTCAGTTTTGCTAAAGTGTCGGATTGTATGTGTGATGCTCAGCTCCCCAGATGGCAGAGAACAGGATGAATCATGAATTAAACAAAATGACAGCAGCCGAGTGTCTGGGTGGGTGTGGGGGGCCCCCCGCAGTCCTGGGGCTCTGTTCAGCCACTCAGCTCCTGAGGTTCTCTAAACATGGCGCTCTGCGGCCTTGCTGGAGGCATCAGGCATGCTGGCCAGAGAGATGGGACCCTCCACCTGCCTACAGCCCAAACCCGACTCTGACAAGCCCCAGCTCCCCCGCAAAGAATGCTGCATCCTTGCTGCTCAGATGCTGTTCCCCCAGGGACGACCGTGCGCGTGTACATGCTCACCCAAGCCTGCAGGTGGGGAGGGTGTGTTAGCTCTAGACCGGCGGCCTGCTCTGGGATCTGTAAGGGCACAAGGGGAGTGCGGTGGATAAAGCATGTGCCAGGCTCCCTGCAGAGGCCACCCCGACTCACTTGCCTGCAAGAAGCCCAGGGCTGCTGCTGGAGTCAGTCGTCCTTCTGGCCTGTGGGGCCTGAGACACATCTTAGCCTGTTCCTAAAGTGGATTAGAATGTGCCATCTGGCCTCTCTCTCTCACCCCACAGGGGCAGGGGCACAATACTCCTTTGTCGGAGAGTGTTCTGACTTCTAGCTCCATCCTAGACACCGGGCTGGTACCCCAGTGGCCCTGGGGAGAGGAGATGGGGGTCCCGGAGAGTGCTCCTCAGAGCTGACCCCAAGACTAGGAGCCGGTGTGGTGCTGTGCGGCCCTTCTGATGGTGTGGGCTCTGGGGCTGAACTTCTGCCCTCAACCTCAAGGTAAGGCCTGTCCCGGCCTTCATGAAGAATGTCTGCAGCACGATGCCTTCGCCCTCTGTTTCTGAGTGTAGAAATCATTACGGCCCCGTGGCCACAGGAGGATGTCCTCCAGGGGGAGCATGCCGCCTGCAGGAGCACGACACGCCCGCGTGGACGCCCAGGGGGGCAGCTGGGAGGAAGCGCCCTCCACGGCCTCTCTCGCCCGATGAGGCCTCCAGAGTGTGAAACATCACGAGCCTCTGAGGATAATGAACACCTGCGGAATACGGCCGCGAGTCTGACAACAATAAAAGGTCGCCGATTTCCTGAGGGCTCTGTGCTCTGCGGTGAGGTCAGGACAGCGGGACGAGCCGTGGGCCATCGGACGACCCCACTGGCAGCCTCTGTGGTCAAGTGAGCGTCTGGAGGGCAGACCCCAGGGCCCGGCACAGCATCTGGCCAGCTGTGCCGAGCTTCTTCAGTTACCTACCCGGTCGCGGGACGCCACTGGGGACGTGGGACAGGAAACAGACGTCAGGCTCTGTGTCACGGCTGCCCTGGGATTATGCCAGACGGGGCTGCAGGACAGTGGAAGACGCAATCTCTTCAATAAATGATAGTGTCAGCCGGACATCTGGACGGATGAATCTCGACCCTCTGCCTTACATCTTACCCCAGACTCCATTCCAGATGCAGGGGCGCTCTAACACTCCTGAACATTCCAGAAGAAAACTTACAGCAATGTCTCCTTAAGCCTGGGATAGGCAAAGATTTCTTTAGAAGGGTGTAGAAACGCTACATGTAAAGAAAAAGCTGTATGTGGAATCCCACTAAGATGAAACTTCTGCTCATCGAGGTATCGCTAAGAATGAAGAGGCAGGCCATGGAGAGGATACTCGCAGGAGACTGGACGTGGCCGAGGGAAGACTGTAAGCCGGAGGGCATCTCGCCAGAACGGCCCAACACGAACAGCAAAGAGAACAAAGATCAGAAAAAACTCATCAAAACGTCAAGGCTGTGGGGCGGCCAGGAAACGTGTGAGCAACAGGAACGCCGGCAGGAGGAGAGACGGAGGGACAGAAGACGTGGCTGACAGTGTTCCTGAATTAGTGTCAGACACCAAGCCACAGGTCCCAGAAGCTCAGCAGACACCAAGCACGACAAAGGCCAGACACATTACCTTCAAAGTGTAATAAATCAAAGATAAAAGATCCAGGGGCCCCTGGGTGGCTCAGTGGGTCGAGTGTCCGATTCTTGATTTTGGCTTAGGTCACGATCTCAGGGTCGCAGATCAAGCCCCGCGTTGGGCTCCTTGCTCAGCGGGGAGTCTGCTTGAGATTCTCCCTCTCCCCCTACTCACACACATAGTCTGTCTCCAACAAAATAAATAAAATCTTAAAAAAAAAAAGATCCTGAAAGGAGCCCGAGGAAGAAAGCACCTACCCCACAGAGAAACAGGGTAGGAGTTACATCCAACTCCTCAGATGCTGGGCGGCAGGAAGAGGGAGGAGAGATAGCTGGGGTTCAGAGAAAAACAAACCAAAACACACTAACCTAGAATTCTGTACACCCCTTCCCTTCAAAAGGGAAGGAGAAATAAAGGCTTGCTCCAAGATAAATTGAGGGACTCTATTACCAGCACACCTGCCTCATAACAAACGTGAAAAGAAGTTCTTTAGAGAACAGGAAAGTTGATAGATCAGACCTGGCGTCTGCACGGAGAACACAAGAGCATGGAAGGAGTAAGTGAAGGCAAGATGAAACGGTTTTATTTTATTAAAAGATTGTATTTACTCATTTGAGAGAGAGAGAGAAAGAGAGCGAGCACAAGCAGGGGAAGGGGCAGAGGCAGAGGGAGAAGCAGGCTCCACTCCGCGCTGAGCGCAGAGCCTGATGCGGGGCTCGATCCTGAGACGTGGGGATCATGACCCGAGCCGAAGGCCGACCAAGGCAGACACTTAACCGACTGAGCCACCCAGGCGCCCCAAGATGGAACAGTTTTAATTTTTTTTTAAAGATTTTATTTATTTGACAGAGAGAGACACAGCGAGAGATTCTTAACTGACGTAGCAGGCAATAGTTTGTTCAAAGTAACAGCGATGGCGTATCCGCTCACTTATACCCCGTGTGTGCACATTCCTACGTAACGTGAGCAGCAAGGATACAGGGCTGGGGGCTGGAATCGGGACGTCTGCTGTCGCGAGGCAGGCAAACTGCTCCTGGGACGGGGCGGTGCTGTTTGGAAGCGCGCCTGGATCAGCTGCAAACGTGTATTGCAAATTCTGGGGCAAGTAGTAGAACAGTTAAAAAAATGATAGCTGACCTGCTAAAAAAGGAGAGAAGGGACTCGTACAAAGTGCTCGGTTAAAACCACAAAACCGAGAAAAGGAGAGGATGACAGTAACAGGAACACAGAACAAGGGTGACAAACAGAATAGATATGAACCCAACTGTAGGAGTCTCCACTTGGAACATCAGTGGTCCACACGCTCCCGTGGAAGACAGATGGTCGGAGGGGATCAAAAAACTAGACCACCTGTCTACACGGAACCACGCTGGGTGTAAAGATTACAAGCATGAAGTATAAAACGATAAAGATTAAAAATACAGATGAAACGCAAATGGAGAAAAACACACCATGCCAACACTAATCCAAGGAAAGGAGTATTTGTCTGAATTTCAGGCATCAGGAGTGAAGAAGGGTATTACTGTGCCGGTAGAGGGGCCACTTCTCCACGATACAATCCTCAACACGTATGTGCCTCAAAATAGAGTCAAACTACAGGAGGCAAAAACTAACAACTGCAAGGAGAAACAGATGAATCCACCGTCCTAGTGGGAGACTTTAAGCAGAAAATCAGTAAGAATGGGGCGCCTGGGTGGCTCAGTCATTAAGCGTCTGCCTTCGGCTCAGGTCATGGTCCCAGGGTCCTGGGATCGAGCCCCGCATCAGGCTCCCTGCTCTGTGGGAAGCCTGCTTCTCCCTCTCCCACTTCCCCTGCTTGTGTTCCCTCTCTCGCTGTGTCTGTCTCTGTCAAATAAATAAATAAATAAAATCTTAAAAAAAAAAATTAGTAAGAATGTTAAAGTGTATAAAGAAGTACAGATCCCGAAGAGCAAGACAGGCAACCCAATTTTTAAAAAATGGGTGAAAGACTTGGGCAGACAATTCACAAAGCCCAGACATCCAAGTGGCTTGCAGACACGGGGCAGGCACGCCAGATCAACAGCCCTCGGGGCGAACACAGCCTCACCGAGGCATCGGTCCCTTCAGAGCGGCTGAAATCAGAGATCAGAGAAAGTGCGTGTTGCTGAGGTTTGGAGGGAGCTCCCGTGCCTCCTGTGGGTGCATACATGAGCTCAACCACGGCGCTCTGTACAGCCCCGCCCCGGGGAGCGGCCGCCAGGAGAGCGGACACGGCACCAGGGGCCGTTGACGACAGTGCCGATGACAGTGCCACTCATGGCTGCAAACCGGGACAGCCAGGGGCTGTGGCAGCAGTGGGAGGCCGACCGGGAGGGATTCAAGTTTTATCCCGGGGACAGAGAGCACGTGCTTCCTCATCTTGACGACGACTCGCGTTTCCTGCCCGATCCCGAGCCTGCTCTGCGGGAAGGCCACCATCGCACTCAGTACGGAGGGTCTTACGTGTGTGTCTCCTTCAGGAAATGCGGAACATAGAGAGGGCAGGAGGGACAGGCCGCGGAGATCGGAGGCCTGCAAGTTTGCTTGCTTGTCGCCAGGACGGCAGAGGACAGAGGTGAAGCTGTCTGTACCCCACAAGGCCCACACCACACACCTCTGCACGGCCCTGCCCCTCAGCCTCCGGGCTTCTGCGGATGCTGCGTTCCACCTCCCACCTGCTTGGACCAAACGTCAGGTCCTTTGGGGAGTTTTCCTTTTGCCCAGTTATCTGCCCTGGCTCTTTATTCTGGACGGCCCAGAGCACTGGCTGTCCCCTAGACCCGCTCTCTGCACCCGTCCCTGTGAACCTGGCAGCCAGACTAGGTGGGAGCTCCGCAGGGCTGGGGTCAGGACCTGGTCCCGTGTTCTGACACTGAGCAGGGCCCCAGACATCAGAACCCAATGAACAGGCTCAGGAGGACAAAGGCGTTCAGGTGGTTGGCAGAGCAGACCACTGGCACCCACTGCTTGTCCATACACCGCGCCGTTTCTTCTGCACCCCGGGCCACCCCCCGGGGCGGCCCACACGGCCGGGTGCCAGAGTCTTGGCAGCCTGGGCTCTGCCCCAGCTGTGCCTTCCCCAGGCAGCACCCATCACCCGGCCTTGTACTTGCCAAAACCAATGACCCCACGTGGCGGCGTCGCAGCGGCCCTGGGTCCCGGGCCCATGAAGGGGAGGTGCACGCCACGGACGAACTGCCATGGCTTTTCAGACAGGGCTGTGGCCCAGCCGTGCACCACGAAGCCAGCTTAGTGACCAGCGATCGAAGGACAACGGGATGGGAAGCGTGTCCGTGCCCCGCCGTCCAGCGACAGCACGGCGGCCGCACAGACTAGACATTTCCTACGCGGTGGTCATGTTTAAAAAAACCCCGAACTCGAGGGCCACCGGCCTTCTTCCCTTCCAGAAGCCTTGCTGCCATGCGTGTGGGCTCTGTGCTCTGCCCCAGGGAAAGTGGCCTTGATAAGGTTTGCCGACGTTCTTCAGAATAACATCAATCGTGGTGACGGTTTGTGCAGCGCTTTGGGCATTTACACACACAGCCTCATTGTACCCGCACATGCCGACGAGGAGAAAGAAGGGCAAAGGGCTTGAAATCGGAGCTGTGTGACCGCAGACAAGCCGCTCGACCTCTCTGGCCTTTGCTTCCTGCCCTTGGGAAGTGTTGAGGATTAACGGAGCGTGTGTGTACTCGAAAAGGCTGAGACGGAAACACTCGTCATCGGCTCCCCGAGCAGACCCAGACGTCCAGTGATGGACCACCCCTTAGCCAGAAGGAGCCGCAAGCACAGCCGTAAGCCGCGCCCCTGTCCCCGCGTCCCCAGCAGGCGCATACCCGGCACTCACCACCCTGCCACACCCTTCGCCAGAGGCAGGAGCTGTTACTGTTACTCCCATTCTGCAGATGAAGGAACTGAGGCCCAAGGGCTCCATAAGGAGGTCCAGTCTATCCCCTCGGGAGCTGGTGGTGTGGTCAGGCCCACCCCAACCTCACCTCTTGGCCCCGTCCTCGATGGTCTCTCCGTCTTGAACTTTGCCCCCGAAGCCATTCCAGCGGCCGGCCCCAAATCCTCGCTTCTTCATGCCCAGGAGCACTCGCTGAGGCTGCAGCACTAGTACCAGGGTGTAGAGCCTGGAGGTGCCCATGGTCCCCTGGGGGCCCCCTGAGGAAGGCAAGAGGGCTGGCTTAGTCCTACCTGGGTGCAGACGGGGTGTGGTGGAGGCCAGGGGCCAGGTGGAATGGGAACGTGCCGTGGAAGGCGGGGAGGGGAAGGCTGGTATGTCATCTCCCAGCCCTGCCACATGTGGCTCGCCTCAGGGAACAAGGGAGCTTCTGGGCTAGAGAGGGGCTTGGCTCTGCGAACCCAGTGGCAGCAGTGCCCAGGCCCTTGGCAGGAGATGGCCATGTCAGTGCTTGCCCCGCCTCAGCACAGAGGCAAGAGGGCAGTCCACCCGTGGGCGCCAACAGAACCACGCGGGTTAGCCCATGGTTCTTGGGTCAGGCTTTAGGCCGTGGCGTTTTCACCAGTGGGGTCTTCTTCTGGCCTGTGGGGATCTGCCTTCTGCACCTCAGCAGTAGCAGACCTACAGAGTTCCAAGGAGTGCGTAGCTCCTGACAGCGGAGAGCCCGCTCAGCAGGGCTGGCTGGTCCTCCCTCCTGCGACAGCTCATCTGCTCACAACCGTTGCTGCCCTGGGAGCCACAAGGGCCCCCGTCCTGCTCCAATGGGCGAGCATGGTCCAGAGGAAAACTCCCAGGGTGAAGTCTGGGTGCTTGCTGGAGACATGGGGGGGAAGGGCCAGGAGCAGGGCCCCTGTCCATCCAGCCCTAGCGCAGCCTGGGACCCGATGAACACAAGTCTCCCACCCTGGGGACCACGCTGGATGAGAAGCAGGAGCAGGGATCCTTCTGGGAAGTTCCCGAGTCTGAGACAAGGCACCTCCATGTGGGCCCTGGCGTTGGGGGTGGGTCTCTGTGCTTGAGGCCGGATGCCTGTGAACTTGGTCGTGAGGCTGACGGGTTCATGCCCAGAGAGCCCTGGCTTCCCAGTGAACTGTGTTGGTGACGGGGAGGACACTGGGGGCGTCAGCTATCACTTAAGAAAGCACTCACTTAGGGGCGCCTGGGTGGCTCAGTCGTTAAGCGTCTGCCTTCGGCTCAGGTCATGGTCCCAGGGTCCTGGGATTGAGCCTTGCATCGGGCTCCCTGCTCAGTGGGAAGCCTGCTTCTCCCTCTCCCACTCCCCCTGCTTGTGTTTCCTCTCTTGCTGTGTCTCTCTCTGTCGGGTAAATAAATAAAATCTTTAAAAAAAGAAAAAAAAAAAAGAAAGCACTCACTATATGCTTCTCAAAAAGTATTCTATTTAACAGACCCAACAACCCCGTGAGCTAAGACTTGCTTTCTCCATTTTCAGAGGAAGAAGTGGAAGCTCAGAGGCGGAGTTGGACCCAAGGTCAAAGGGCAGCCTCAGTGCCCCAGTCTGGGTCTAGCGGCTGTTGAGGTTCAGCGGGGGGCACAGATGCTGCAGCAAGTGGCCTGGGTCCTCAGAGAGCCTACCTAGTGTCAGGGGCCAGGAGGCTGCCTCAGACTGGGCAGCCCTACCTGTTAGCCCCACGGCCCACGTGGAGCCCGGTCAAGTCACCTGAAGACTGAGGCCCCTTATCAGGGCTTTAAGAGACAATATCCGCCCTTCGCAGAGCACCAGGCCGGTCTTATACAGCGCGGGGGGCTTGGGACCTCAGGTCCTCAGGCCGTGAGACCCCGGCAGTCCGGGATCCGTCTCCTCTGACCTCTGCTCACCTGGCACCCCGCCTGCCCCTCTCCCTTCCCCTTCCCCTCTCTCCGGCCCCTCCCCCCTCCCAGGTCCGTCGAGGGCCCCCCCCCTTCCCCTCCTCGCTCCCAGGTCCGCTGAGCCCCCCTCTTCCCTCCCCGGTCCCCCATCACCAGGCCCCGGCCCCGCCCCTTCCCCTCTTCCCTGCTCACCTGACCCGGGCTCCGCTCCCCCGCTCCCCTGTGCGGGGTCCCCAGGCCCGCGTTTCGCGCGCGCTTTCTGAACCCGGGCACCGCTTCCGGGGGCGTGGCCTCGGGCCGGAAGCGAGGCCGGCACTTCCGGCGCGGGCGGCCGGAGCGGATCTGCACCCATGGCTAGGTGAGTGGGGTTGTGAGCTGCAAGGTGGGCGCGGTGGTGCGCGCAGTCGGCATTTATGGAGCACCTGCTGCGAGCGTGCGGGAGGAGGCGGGGCTAGGGGTGCGTCCCACGGTCCCTCGGCGGAAAAAAGGGCGCGGACGCGGGCATGCCGGGCGAAGTGCCTAGGAGAGGACTTCCAACACGGAGCCAGGTGGAGGGCGGGGAAAGAGTGGGCACGGGTGAGGGGGCGCTGCAGGTGGAGGTGAAGCTTGCCAAGGGCACAGCAGGTCTGAAGGCTGTGGCACGGGGCTTCCACGAGTGGCCCTGTGGCTGAACCCCCAGACGTGGGTGGGCGCTGGAGGTCAGCTGCGCAAATCTGCAGGTCTCAGTGCGTGTGACCCTGCTTTCCCGCCTTCCCCCAACCGTGGGAGTTGGTTCTGGTGCCCAGGAAAGCTCTGTGCTCCTTCCAGGAGACCCCTTCCGCTCTTTGAAGGCAGCGGATACAGTTGCTGTGTCCACATCTTGTCAACATGCTCTGGTTGTTGAAGGGGTTTTGGCCTGGAGCCATGGGGATGATGGTAGGTTCTTTCCATCAGAAGAACGGATGCAGAACTTAGTTTGTAGGGTTGTGCTGAGAGTTCGTGAGGGGATGTAAGGGGAGCTCCTGGCAGTCAGTGAACTGTTAAAAACTTGACTTTGCCAAAGAGACTTGGAAATTGTCCTTCACCTGCTCACGCAGGTAGAGTTCAGTTGTATGAGGCGGTGTGACTGGTAAGGCCCTGCGTTGGCGCCCACAGACATGGAGCTGAGTAAGGCAAGGGTCTGCCCCCGGGGGGTTCTCTTGCAGTCCTGCAGAGCCCAAGGAAAAGTTGTACCGGGTGAGCAGGAACGTTACCTTTGTTAATGTTAACGGTACCGTTAACCAGTGCTGGAAAAATGTGGGTTGACACAAGCAGAGTGACCATCAGTGATGTTTGAGTCTTCCTTCTGGAGAAGACTTCCATGAGCGAAAGACGCTTCTTTTCTACAAGGCGACGCCTGCTGTGCTCGCTTGCTTGGGTGCAGCGAGAAAGCACCCCAGGCCAGGCGGCTGGACCGACACAAACTGCCGCCTCACAGCGCTGGGGGCGGCAGCCCCAGGTTGAGGTGTCCGCCGGGCTGGTTTCTCCCGAGGCCCCTCTCCTTGGCCTGTACATGGCTGCCGTCTCCCTGTGGCCCCACCCCGTGGTCTTTCCTCTGTGCACGTCTGTCCCGTGTTTGATGAAGACACCGGTCATATTGGATTCAGACCCACCCATCTGGCCTCATTTAACTGAACCACCTCTTTAAAGACCAGTTCTATTTTGAGGTACCTGGGGTTAGGACTTTCACACATGAATTTGGGGAGGGACTCAGTTCACCCCATTCCGCCTGCTTTCTGGCTGGGTAGCCTTGCCAAGTCCCCTCCCCTCTCGGGCCTCCGGGCGCCGTCTCTAAAAACATGTGGGTTGACAGGGAGCCTGCCTATCTGTGTGATGCCAGCCTGTTTGCTCCCCTTTTCTCCAGCAGGTCCTTGAAGCTGATAGGCGCGTCCCTTCAGTGTCAAAGGTTTCACACCGCTGGGAGTCACTCCAAGGGTCGGACCGGTGCTGAGCACCTGTGGCTGACACGGCATTTGAAGGACCCATTTGTGAAGGCCGCGAAGGTGGAGAGTTACCGGTGCCGAAGTGCCTTCAAGCTCCTGGAGGTGGATGAGAGGCACCGGATCCTGCGGCCTGGCCTCCGGGTGCTAGACTGTGGGGCGGCCCCCGGGTCATGGAGCCAGGTGGCTGTGCAGAGGGTCAATGCTGCGGGCACAGGTAGGGCCTCTGACCACCCTGGGTCTGGAGGCGCAAGCCAGCTGCCCTCCACCAGAGGATTTGGGGTGGCCAAGCCACTTGGTGGCTTGTTCGGTAGTAAGAAGGGTGAAAGTGGGACACTGATGTTTTCAAAATGATGGGGACACGGTAGAAAGCTGTAGTGAAGATTTAAAGCACCTCAAGTCACACCACGTCTGTATGTCCGTCAGTGCGTTGGCGTGCCCCCTTCCAGAATTCGCTTTTGCACGCATAACTACATATGTATATTTCCTTTCTCAAAAACGCTAGCATTCCAGGGCGCCTGGGTGGCTCAGATGGTTAAGCATCTGCCTTCGGCTCAGGTCATGATCCCAGGGTCCTGGGATTGAGTCCCGCATCAGGCTCCCTGCTCAGTGGGAGTCTGCTTCTCCCTCTGCCTCTCTCTCTCTCTCTCTCTCTCTCTCGCTCTCTGTCTCTCATGAATAAATAAATAAAATCTTTAAAAAAAAAAACCCCCAAAAATGCTAGTATTCCACATCCACATTCTTCTTGCTGATTTGGAGCCTTAATGGAGCTGTTTTTTTTCACGTACTGATATATTGACATCTTTCCGCAACAGCACACCTGCATCAACCGCAGGGGTTTCCAGGTCCTGGTCCTTGAAGCTCTGGGTGTCCCGAGGTCCCACTAGGGCTGGTCCGGGAGCACCCGTGGCTGGGGCTCTGGGTTCTTTGGCTCAGCCAGAGGGACTCAGCTTTTGCCGTCTTGTATTTTAGGATATCGTCAAAGATTTTCTATGTGAAAACGGTTCCACTGATTAATCAACAGGGAAGCCTGTACCCTCAATTTAGAAAACCACGTCCTTTTAAATGCTTGTGCAGAACTCCAGAGGACAGCTGTGCTGTTTGGACAGCCTCCTCTCGGGCACCCGGCGTGGCTCCCAGGTCTTCTGCTAGTGTGCACCCTGCGGTGCTGAGCATCCCTCCCCCTTTCTTTCCTACCCTAAAGTCGGAGGGTACCACAGTCCCTGGCATTACATGAAATGTGCCGATTCACAAGAACCTCTCTCCGACACGCAGAATGAGGGCTCTGTGCCCATTGTCCTAATGAAAATTGAGGTTCAGAGGAGTTTGCTGATCTGCTGAAAGAGGCTGGGAGTGCTGCTCCCTGGGTTCACGACTAAGATCCAGCCTCGTTACTCTGGGTGGGATGCCTCCAGCGGCTCTAGAACAGGTGAAAAAAAAAAGTTTTTAGCTCAGTAAGCACTGCCTAAGTGAAGGCATTTGTGTCAGAGACTTCAGTTCCTTTTCCTACCCCTGAGCCTATCCATAGACCTAACAAGTGCTTCCTGTCCCCATAATTGCTCTTCAGGAGAAGGAGGAAAATGGCCAAGTCTAACCTGTAGGAAGGACATGGCAGAGGCAAAGAGTGTGGATAAAATGATTGGGTTTCTTTTCCTCCTAGAAGTTGGAAAAGGCATCCAAAGCCATTTGCCTCTAGTGGACCCTCCCCAAAGTTAGAACACACGGGATATCAAAGGAAAGGAAGTCAAGTGCGTAAAATGAGATGTGGGATGTCCTCCTTTCCCGGATTGAAAATGGTATTTTCTCTTTTGAAAAATGTACTCTGCAAAATACCTGACTTCTAGTCTTTAGCTAGGAGTAAAATGCACATTACCCCACCACGGAACAGCCTCTCTGCTAAGCAGAGGGAACCAGCAAGCCTATGCACCCTGAACTGGTCCCCCCGCGGGTACTGGCAGAGCAGGGGCCCTCCCCGGACGGGGGACACCAGGGCCTGCTCGGGGCGAGTGAAACAGTGGCCTCTTTACTGTGCCGTGGGTGCCTCTCAAACCCGGGTGAGGGGTCACGTTCTGTCCTTTGTCTTCCACCTGTCTGTCCCCCATTTCTTGGCTCGTTTCTAGTAGTTTCTGCATTGAAAGAAATTGGTTTAAGCTGCAGAATGGACATGTTGATTTAACGCAGAGGTACTTTATGTATTAGCGTGTCCTTTTCTGTTCTAGTTTGTCAGAAAGGCCGCTCAGAGATAAGACCCCTCACAGAGAGCAGGCTCCGGGAAGTGACATGACGTCAGAGTTGGAGCCTGTGCTCTGGGACAGGTGCTCTTCTCTGGGCCCCAGATGCCTCACATGCAGAGTGAGGACTGCCTCTGTAGCTGGGTAGAGCAGGGGAAGGGCCTCGTGTCCACATCTTTCATGTTTGCTCCTGTCCTTTGTCTTGACTTTTTATTTCTGTTTTTCTATTCGTATTTTTGAGGGATGGTTCAGGGTGTGAATAATGGACTCACCCTGTCTTCTTTAGATCTCGGTGCTCCTGTTGGCTTTGTGCTCGGGGTAGATCTTCTTCACATATTCCCCCTGGAGGGAGCAACTTTTCTGTGCCCGGCTGATGTGACTGACCCGAGAATCCTCCAGAGAATCCGAGAACTGCTTCCTGGAGGGAGAGCAGATGTGATTCTGAGTGACATGGCACCCAGCGCCACAGGGATCCGGAGCCTGGATCATGACAGGCTCCTTGGCTTGTGCTCCTCCCTTCTGGACCTGGCTCCAGATGTCCTGCACCCTGGCGGAACATTCCTCTGCAAAACGTGGGCTGGAAGTCAAAGCCTGGCGTTCCAGAAGCGGCTGACAGAGCAGTTCCAGAGCGCCAGGACGGTGAAACCCAGAGCCAGCAGGAAGGAGTCGTCAGAGGTGTACCTCTTGGCCACACAGTACCGAAGAGGAAAGGAGTTTGCGGAGGACTGAGGGTTTTTCCTGCAGTTTCCGAGTCTTGTTCACTGCAAGCGTCATCTGAGCTCTTGCTGGGAGTGTGGCTGGGGGGCGGGGGGGGGGGGGGGGGGGGGTGATCCCAGGGGGTTTGATCCGGCATGCAGCAGGCAGGACAAGTGGGGGGCCTTTGTTTTAAGCCAAAAAGCTACAACAAAACGATATTCGCTGGCTGGGATGTATGATCAGAAACAGTCTCTAGAATGGGATTTGTGAGGCGGAGAGGAAAGGATGAAAAGACAGTGGGAAGGAGCCGGCGGCGGACGTGGGCCTTGGTGTAACCTTGATGTAACTGTCATGTCACAGAGTGTTCCCGTGTAACAGAGAAAGTCTCCACCCTTGCTGCCCTGACCGACTGACCGCAACACCCAGGCTTCTCGTTGTCATTTTGCTTATACGGTGTAGCATGTGAAAACCTGAACTTTCAACCTGGGGATTAATCTCCATCTCTCTGGTGGATGATGTGTTAATCCCTTCCTGAAGTAGCGGGAGTTCCCTGCAATTAGGGAAGACATTTGGTATGAATTATGCAGGGGGCTGGCATGCTTTGTTTTATTGCTGAAACCCCGGGGGCCCCCAAGGCTGGCAGTGGCCAGAGCAAGCATCCACGTGGTGTGTGCGTCTACTTCCTTGTGCTCTCTTCCAGGAACTCGATGCAGCTTTACAGAACGACATAGATTGTACGATTTTTAAGGGATTTCCATGCTTTTCAGTTTGTTTTTACAAAAATTGGTTTCTTCAAAAACATTTCCTGGAGGTGTGCTCATCCCTCAAGAAGAGTGTATTGACCCTATTGCTGATTAAATCCCAAGGATAGGGCTGGGGGAGAGCCTAGGTAGATACCCATCATCTCCACCAGGGCCCGAGGGCTCAGTCCAGCACTCTGAAGTGGGCTGGAGGCCGGATTTAGCATTTTTTCACGTTATTTTTGGTTGTAGTCAGTTATGTCAGGGACTTCCCTGTCCTACCCCCAGCACATCCCCTGCCCCCATCCTATTTCACGCTCTCCAGGGGCGGTGGAGATCCTCCAGACCCTTGGGGCGGGGTGTTGACCCCCCAGACCCTTGGGGGGGGGTTGTGCAGACCTTTGGGGTGCAGCGCAGACCCTTCAGACCCTGGGGGGGTGGCAGACCCTCCAGACCCTGGGGGTGTGGTGCAGACCCTCAGCGCGCATTGCGGACCCTCCAGACCCTGGGGGGGTGGGTGGTGGTGCAGACCCTCCAGACCCTGGCGGTGCTGTGCAGACTCTCCAGACCCTCGGGTGCCCGCTCCGGGGAAGGAGGGGCAGGGAGGAGGAGGTTCAGGAGGGAGGGAGACCCCCGTTACTGGACGAGGGTCTCTGGCTGTGGGAGCTCACAGGGCCCTGGGAGGATAGCCTAGCAGCAGAATATTTTGCTTTTCCAGTGAGCCCAGAGGAAAGTAAGGACGTACTAACTCAAACCAATACTGTAGCAAAATTTGGGAGTTGTCAAGAGCCGGAAAGTTTGGCCCGAAGAGGCCACCGTTGGGCGGTGCTATTCTACACAATACGGTGAGAGGCCACCGCCCCAGTGGCGGTCCGTCCCGCTGGGGGAGGCGGGCACCCCGACTGGCCCGCGGGACGGCCTTTGGTGAGAGTCCTCCGGGCGAGGTCTCCGGGGGGCGGGCGGCTCCGGGGCGCACGCGGAGCTCCCAGGACTCGCCGGTGCACAGGCACGGGTATTTACGGTCGGTTCTGCCCAGGTCTCGCGAGAGCGCGGCGGCAGGTCTCGCGATACGCGGGCGCGGGCGTAGAGGAGGGAGATCTGAGCGGCGGGGGCGATCGGCCGGGGCTCAGGTGAGCTGCCGGGCGCTGGGGTCCCGGGTGGGCGGCGGTGGATGGCGGGCCGGGGGACGGGCTGGGCGCGGGCGCTGCCCTCTCCCCCTGCCGGCTGGCCTCCTCCTCGCCGCCTTCGGTCCCTCGGAGCGGGGCCGGGGTCGGAGCCGGATTCTCTAGCGGCGCCGGAGCGGGGCCGGAGTCGGAGCGGAGCCGGGGTCCGAGCCGGCTTCACTGGTGGCGGCGAGCGGTCGGGGGTCGGAGCGGGGCCGGGGTCCGAGCCGGCTTCACTGGTGGCGGCGAGCGGTCGGGGGTCGGAGCGGGGCCGACCCCCACCCGGCGCCTGGGGTCTGGCGGAGCCGCCCGTGTGCCCAGAGTTTGCAGAAGTGCCCGTGCGGTGCCGGGGCGGAGAAGGGCAGCTCACAGGCAGCACGCTCTGCACGCGCAGCCCCGGGATTTTGATTTCCCGGGGTTTCGGTTTCCGTGGTTGGGTTGCTGAAGATTGGTGTCTGTCGGATAAAGAGATGGAGTTTGAGCTGCTGCCTAATCGCATGCCTGGTGCCCCGGCTTAGTTCCAGGCAGTTGGAAACGCGTGTGTGCTCTTCATTCCGGTGGATTACACACATCAGTTCTTACAGGGATTGGTCTCTCCCGAACAGGACATAGTGGCTAAGTTTCCCATTAGGGGATGGAGAGTATGGCCCCGACCTAATCTTGGCAGACGGAGGGCTTTGCCTTCTGGAGCTGGCCTCTGCCGTCTCCTGCCGCTTGGGCCTCTATCTGCCAGGCTCTCAGCGCTGGGTGCTGGTCCTGTTCCATCTTGCAGTCCGTTTTCCATCGACAGTGTGTTTGAGAGGAGGTGAGCGCAGTCGCATTGTCCGGGGTGCTAATGTGGCCCACAGAGGAGAAGGGCTCTGTTCTCCAACAGGGATTCCAAGTGAGAGTCCTCACTGTCTTCCCCTGGGGTGTTGGTGGGGAGGTGTTTCCAATCTAATACTTAGGGCCGGCCTTTTACCCATGCACCTGTGGGAGTTTACGCCTTTGCTCATTAACTGTACCTGGGATGTTTCCCGTCCAGGGGCGGGCGTCAGGCCATGGTCAGTACAGGTTTGGGGATGTGGGTTCTTGTTTTTGTTTTTAATATCTTAATTATTTATTAGAGGGCGAGAGAGAGCACAAGGTGGGGCGGGACGAGCAGACTATCCCATGAGCAGGGAGCTTGGTATGGGGCTGTATCCCAGAACCCTGGGATCATGACCTGAGCCGAAGGCAGACGCTTAACCTACGCCCAGGGGGTGCCCCGGGGATGCTGGTTCTTTGCTGTTGCTTGTGCTCTGCCATGCACTGGCTTGTGGGGCACACTGGACTTTAGAGCCACACAGACCTGGGTTCCAGTCCGTTCTGTAACTTTCTGAAACGCCACTTTCATGATGTGTGAAATATGTGCAGAAAGACCTAGTTGGCCCCTTGTGGAGCCTGAGATGTCCTGTGTGAAGTTACAGGCAGAGTGATGAACTGCGGTGCTGGCTGCGCCCCTGCCATCTGGCAACGTATTGCTGGACTCATCCCCACAGCAGCTGCGCACGGTGGCTCTCGGGAGCCCCAGTTTACAGATGAGTTTGGGCTGCCAGCTAACTGCGAACATGTGGTTATGAACACTGGGGTATCGTAAGGGCTCTGAGAGGGCACTGGGAGAGTGGGGCTGCTGGTAGAGCTAATGATGCCTGCAGAGGCTCACAGTGACCCCTCCCTTGTCTTCCTCCAGAAGCACAGTGGCCATGGATGACCTGGGGGAAAACACCACCGTGCTGTCCACCCTGAGGTCTTTGAACAGCTTCATTTCTCAGCGGGTGGAGGCAGGGTCTGGACTGGACGCTTCCGCCTCTGCCCCAAGCTCTCTGCAGATGCAGTACCAGCAGAGCATGCAGGTGAGTGCCCTGTGACGCGAAGGGGTCTCTGGGTAGAAGACGCCTGCCTGCCCTTAGGTGGGGCCTGTTCAGGTGCCAGTTAGGTCAGGTGAGTGCCCATGTGTGCGGAGGGGTCTCCAAGTAGAGAGAAAGATTGAGTATGTCCTGGTCTCAGACTATGGGGGGCCGTTTGCAGATCTTGGCTTCAGTCTGTCACGATGTGGCTTTTACAGTTTTCCTATAAGAAGTCTTATTTCACATTCTTAGCAACGCTTACTATAGACCGTTAAGGAGGGGTCAGGTCCCCTGGACAACTTGAGGTTCCACAAACTTGTGGGATCAGTCTCATGGGGCAGGGGCCACTGGGGCCACATGAGGAGAGGGTGGTGTGTGCAGCCTGGCCCTGGCCCCCGCCAGTCCGCACCACTGCCGCGTCAGGCAGTTACAGTCCCCTGCTCATGCAGCTGGGGCCGGTCCTCAGTAACGGCCTGTGACAGAGCCGGTGGTGTCCTGTGGCTCTGGGAGCCCTGAAGGGGCCCAGGCAACATGTGGTTAAACAAATGCTCCTGTGTTTGTGTGCGTTCATTTGCTGAATAATTGAATGATTTTTGTTCGTTTAGCGGACTGAGTTGCTCACCTCATTTTTTGGCAAAGACTTTTTATTCCGAAATTGGATCTTTTGTGTTTTTGGTGTTAAAGCACTTTTTTTGGAAATAATGGTGGTAATTGTTTTTTTGTCTTGCTTTTGATTCTTGCTCACTGGTAAAATAAGAAGTTGGCAACTTGGGTCTAAAAAAGCGTTGTAATTTTGTTGATGCAAATGTTTGGGAACTTTTGGCCAGTCTGTCAGAACTATAGAATTTCAGAAGCCCAGTTCTTAACTGAGCTGGTGCTGTGGAGGGCCTCCTCCGTGTGGGGGATCCCATAGGCAGAGTGAGCTGGTCAGAGTCTTGTAGCTGCAAGACCTGTCAGGGCCCTGACCTGGCCCTGTGCTATCCCAGCACTTCCGGCATCGGTTTTGCGCCCTGCCAAGCTGCCCCAAAAGGCAGGTGAGGGAACTGAGACCCCACGGGTCTGGAGAGTCTGGCAGTCCCTGCCCCCTTGCCCTTTTTTTAATGCTCGTGTTTCTGTGGGAAAGTGTTTACAGGGGCTCTGCTCCATGTCAGTGTTGGTTTAAACAGAAACATGTTTCAGTTACTCTCCTTCAGATGCAGTCTGTGGGCCAGGAAGATGTGGCCACGGACCCGTCTCTCTAGGGCTCCTGGCCGCTGTGCAGTAGGGCCCACGGGAGCTGGGGGCTGTCCTTCGGAGCGGCTGGGCCCTCGCTGCCCGCCGAGACTGGGAAGGCCAGTGAGTTTGATGGAGGGTGGAATTCGGAACCCCCACACTTCAGCCGGTGTGCGCTGAAATGAGAGAAAATGTCGGAGGATAAAGAAAGTGTGGACTCGGGCCCTCAAAGAGTGTGTGAGGGGGTGGGTAGAGAAGATGCCTTTCCTCTGGCCTGGGATTTCTCAACCTTGGTACTGCTGACATTTGGGGCTGGAGAATTTGTTTTGCAGGACTTGCTTCTGCCTTGTGGGATGTTAAGGGACATCCCTGGCCTCTGCCCACTGGATGCTGGTAGCGAACACATGCTCCCACCCCCTCTTTTGACAGCAGTGTTTCCAGATGTCGCCACGTGTCCCTGGTGGAACTGAGAACCCCTTGCGCTAGCCCAGTGCTTCTCAAACTTCAGTGTGCTGAGGCTATGTGTAAAAGGAAGTTTTTGATTTGACATCTCTGGGGTACAGCCTGAGGTTCTGCATTTCTTTTTACTGCCCAGGAGCGGCTGTGTTACTAGCCATTCCTAGAAGTCAGGCTCTAGTCCATGTGAGGACGATGCCTTAACACAGTCAGTGGTTCTGCGAAACTGTTTGGTGTGTCTTCTGAGGCCCTTCAAGGCTTGACCTCACCTTTATGTACCTATCCTCTGTGGTAGGCCGACTTCTAAGATGGCTCTTAAGTCCCTGACCCCTGGTGGACCACACTTTCTCCCACTTAAACACTAATGTGGTTTTGTGGCAGCAGGATTTTGCCAACATAATTAAGAAATCAGTCGACCTGAAGATGGTGGGCCTGACTTACTCAGAGCGGGAGAGGGATTGTGCATATGGGGGATTCTCTCTTGCTGGTTTTGGAGGTGGAGAGGGCCACATGCAAGGGATGTGGGTGGCTTCTAGGAGCTGTCAGCAGCCTGGGGCTGACAGTAAGGAAGCGGGACCTTAGTCCTCCAGCCGTGTAAGTGTGAAGGAGGATCCCAAGGTCCAGATGAGTTTAGAACCTGGCCACCAGTGTTGATTTTAGCCTGTGAGACCCTGATCAGACAACCTGGCCATGTGTGCCTGGCCTGTGCATAAAACCTGACTGATAACGTGGGATTTTAGCTGCTGAGTTTGTGGTAATTTGCTACATGGCAATAGGAAACTAACATGCCCTCTTTTCTAGAACAAGCCTACACACTGTCATCCTAAAGTATACCTTTCTCTTCCTGTTATTACTTCCTCTTTGTTTACCGCCTCTCCCCACCCATTTTCCAACGAAGGGCCCAGCATCCATCCTTCCCCAGGGCTGAGTATGGGCCTTGTTGGAGGCAGGTGCTCGGTGTGAGTGTCGGACAAGCCGCTCACCTATTTGGTACAGCTGCTGAGGGTTCTCTTCCCCTTGGGTGTGACCTGGTCAGCTGGAGGAACGAGCGGAGCGGATCCGTTCCAAGTCCCAGGTCGTCCAGGTGGAGCGGGAGAAGATGCAGATGGAGCTGAGCCACAAGAGAGCTCGAGTGGAGCTGGAGCGGGCGGCTAGCACCAGTGCCAGGCGCTATGAGGTGGGTGTGAGCAGGTGCACGGTGCCTGCTAGGCCATAAGGCAGGCAAGCCTCCTGGCAGGGAGCCTGGGTGCTCTGCCTCTGGGTTGCTGGGGACTGCCTTGTTAAGCCACAGACAGCAGCTATGCTTCATGTCCTTGAGGGGGGCAGCGCACAGGGGACGGCTGTCTGCCATGTCTGCCGGTGAGGTGCTGGCTCTGCGGGCATGCCTTTCTGCTGGGCTGCCTGTTCTCCCTGCCACCCCCACCCCAGCCCCCACTTCCCCCTGCCCCCAAGACTTGGGGTGTAAATCCAGCAGAAATACGAGGTACCACAGGGATGACAGGCTTAGAAAGTCACTGGGTTGTGTAAAGGTCTCAGGTCCAGGCCAGACCAATCTTGCTCACGTGGTTAGAGGGCCTCAGAGCAAGGGTCTCCAGTCTTGGGGGTACTTCCTGTTGTCCCTGGCTTACCTAGGGCGGATTGGGCAAATGCAACCCCCCATTACCTAGGGAAGGTACTAGGTTTTTACTGAGAGCATAGATCCCTTTTTTTTGTTTCAATCAACAGCACTTTGCCAGGGGGTTTCAATAAGTGCTCATGATTTGTGGAAATGCTGCCAAGACTTAGGCAAAGCATTGGACCGGCATGTCTCTGACCTGCCTACGCTTCCCCCAAGGGTGGATATCTGGCCCCATACTTGCCTTATGTGGCATATTTGCACGCTTTCCTAGTCCTGTAAAAATAGCGGATGTCTTCAAGGGTGTGATGCTAATGGATGTATTTGACCCTGGTATGCAGGCTTCTGGCTGTGGTGTGCTGTGTGGGCCTAGTAGCCCAGGAACATGGCCTACAAGTGGGTCCCACGGCCTTGGCATTGGCTCTGGTGTTGCTCCCAGGGCTTCCTCCTAAGGTGGAGCTTTAGCTGATGTTCTGGGTCGTCCTAGGAGGGACAGTCCTGGAGGAACTAGTGGGAAGGGACAGGGAGAGGCCGTGGGAATCTTGCTGCTCTTAGAAGTGCATTATTAGGGCTGAAGGTGGCACCAGGGGCCATCAGATCGTAGGAACTGGGGTGTTGGTGCTACTACCCTGACTCTCAGGCAGATGGCAGGGGGTATGGAGCTATTGGAATTTTCCTGAGCCATTAGTCCATCAAGGGCAAGACCTGTCCTGGCTGCCTTGGGTCTCCAGGGTGCAGTGCAGGCCGTGGTACCTTATAGGTACTTAGAATACGTTGGAATGGGTTGGGGGGATTGTCTCACGGTTGGTGGAAGTCTTTTCTTGGGGAAATTGAAGCATGCAGGGCTGAGCTAATCCCAGGTCCTCGCTGGGCTTGGCCTCCGTCTGGGAGGCCTTTCCCTTCCCACCCACAGACATGGTTGAATGTGACCTGGAACCATCTGAGCTGGTGGCTTTCAAATTGTCCCTTTGAGTCTTGGACATCTGTCATGGTTTTTCAGGGACTGCCAGTTTGGCCATGGGTGGGGATCTCAACCTCTCAGATGGTGAAACTTTGGTTGGGGACCTGCAGGGACTGCCTGTGTGAACTTGGGATGGGCAGCCTGAATAGAGATGCTATGTCCTGCTCTGTGGTGGGCTGCGCGGGGCCCTGCATTGTGGAAGGGTTCCCCGACTCTTCGAGGCCAGACTTGCAGGTCCCTCGAGCGGGCTGTGTCCCTCCGCGTTCATTCAGCTCCTCCTTGATGCTGGGCTGGAGAGCCTGGTCTGAGCACTTGCCTCTGGTGTGCTGGTGGGCCTTCTGCAGCGCCGCCTCCCAGGGAGAGGCCAGAGGTCAGCGGCATCGGGTGCCCACTTGGTGGTCCCTTTGCTTCTGGGCTGAGGGTGAGCTCCTAAGTGGCTGACTGCCGTCTCCCGAGACCACCTGGGTCCATCAGAGTGAGGAATCTCAGTCCTGGGGCTGCCTTCCCAGCATAAGACGCATGTTGGTTCTGCAGGCCTGTGGGAGAGGACGTGCCTGGAGGGGCCTCTGGTGGTGTGAGCAGGGCCTGCTGCGTGGCCGGCACTGGTGTAGGAGGGGTCCCCGTCCTGAGGGAGGGCTGGGGTGGGCCTCCCCACTCTCGCTTACTCTCCCCACTCTGGCAGCGCGAGGTGGATCGCAACCAGGAGCTCCTGACGCGCATTCGGCAGCTGCAGGAGCGGGAGGCCGAGGCGGAGGAGAAGATGAAGGAGCAGCTGGAGCGCCATAGGCTGTGTAAGCAGAGCCTGGATGCCGCCGGCCAGAAGCTGCGGGAGAAGGAGGACGGCCTGGCCGCGGCCGGCGAGGTGAGCGCTGTCGTTTCTCGGGGGAGAGGCGTGGGTGCCCTGGGGTGCCCATACCACGGTGCTGGGCGGTTTCCTCTGCCTCCTTGCCACGTGTGTGCAGGGTTTGCATCGTCGTAATCCAGGTAAAAATAACTCCTTTTCCACCCCGTGGCCTTCAGTTCATGAATCAAACCCTTAGTCTTTGTAGTTATGACTTTTAGCGGTTGAGCCTGCATTGCATCGTTTAAAAGCTTTACTTACGTGCGTGCATTCTGGTAGATGTATATACATGCACATACATGCGTCAGGTCGCACGTAGCTTTTGACTTCTGTTACTGATTTTGACGTATTCCTAGGAATGGGGATTCAGGTCTCTGGGGACAGCGTCTGGCTTTTGCTACTGGTTGCTGTGTTGTCCTGGTGGCGTTGTGGAGGGCTTTGGTTTCCCTGTGGCCTTACCTGTAATGGATGGTGGTATCTTCTGGAAGTACCTGTGGGTTTTTTTCCCCCTTCCCAAAGATGTAGTGTTGCCCCTGGATTTGCATTTCTTTGGTTATTAGCAGGTCTCTGAGTATTTGAGAATGTCTTTGAAGCCAGCACGTAGATGAACTGTAGTCCTTACTCTCTCTACCAGTTGAAAGTTGTACAGATTTTAGAAACAGAGCCCAAACATTGATGCTGGTGGAAATTGGACTCTCCTGACCTTCCCTGTCCCTTTGCTGTGGCGCTGCGGATCACAGGTGCAGTGAGGAAAAAGATGAAGCACTGCCCGGGGAGGGAGCAGGGCACGAGATCATTGGTATTCTGTCTCTGCGTGCTTTTCTCTCCTTGATAGATCTCGGGAAGCAGGCTGCAGGTTATTTCTGCCTGGGCAGCGCTGGAGAGCATGTTAAGGTTGTTCCTACATCTGTCATCTGATGTGGATGTTGGCAGGAGAGGAACTGTGATCGGCCTCAAGACAAGTCCCCTTGTTGCCCTTGGCTTGCCTAGGCTGCGTTCTGGAGGCTGGTGTGGGGCCCGTGGGGGAGGGCGGGGCCTGCACTCTGTTCAGTGAAGAGCGAGGTCGGGGGAGAACCTTGCCGCACAGGTTGCAAAGAGGATGAGAGAGGGGCCAGGGTGGGAAGGTGGCGGCCAGTCAGGATGGAGGACCCTGAATTTTGTTTCTGTTATTTGTACCTCCTTGGAGAAGCCTTCCCTGGTGACTGCATCATCACTGCCCCCACATGTGCTCTCTCCACCGTGCCTGGGTCGTAAGCTCATCACCGGGAAGTCCTCTTGCTGACCGCCGGGCTTCCCCAGAGCCAGGTCCTGTGTGCATTAATTGGATTCAGGAAGACTTCTCAAAGGTTGTTTTCCTAGTTAAATGTATTTTAGTAGCTCCATTCTTCTGTGATGCCCGGGTTGAGAGGCACCCTTGTAGCAGAGCAGATGGATGGAGTATGGGTGTGGACGGCCTGTGTCAGCTTCCCCTGGGGAAGGTGGGTCCTGGGTTGGTGTGGGCCCCTGGGCCACGTGAGAGCGAGTCAGGCCTCCTTGTTGGCAGGGGTTGCCCTGGGACTGCTGGTGTCCCTCACTGTGGGGCGTTCGCTGGACCGGGTCCCTGTCCTCTGGTCCAGGAGGTTAATTTACAGGGACCCTTCTGAGTGGGCTTCCCTGGTGGCCTGATTGGTGAGCTGGCTTCCCCTGGGAAAGCCATAGAGGGAGAGCAGTCACCAGACGGTCACTGGGAGGTCACCTGGTGAGGGTGCAGTCTGGTGGAAGGGCAGCAGGTCTGCCTCTGAAAGTCCAGAGGCTTGGCCCTGGCCCAGCCTCCCCAGCCCTGGCTTTCTGGCTGAGGGCATGCCTGCGCATTCCTCGCGGGTGGTTGTTTGGCCCCATTCTTGCCTTCTGGCCGAGGCATTCCCGTGGCTCCTCCATCCTGGGGGGCTCCCGTAGCATCGTTCTGAAGATGGCCTCAGTCCCCCATTCCTTGGCAGGACGTGGCTGTGGTTCCCAGGGAGTGTTTAGCTGGGATGGGGGCATGGTAGGGGTTCATTCGGGGTAGGTGCGGTGCGGGGAGCCGCACAAGCACACTGGGCACAAGCGAGGGTCCCACGTGACAGAAGTCATGGGGCACGGGCCTCTCTCGGCAGGCAGCCCATCCCCATGACCCAGTCTTTTCCCATTTGCTGGAGGGAAGCGCGAGGCCGGCCGCAGACCAGGATACTCTGGGGTTGGGTGCCCAGATCGTGGGTCGGAAAGGAGAAGAGGGCTTGGTCCCTGCCCACAGGAGGGGCGTGGCAGGTGCAGGCTCTTTTGGGGCCATTTGTCCCGTGGGCTTGTGGGTCAGGAGCTCACCTCTGTGTGTGTGTCACAGCCCGTAAGCAGCAGCCGTGTTCCCTCCTCCCCTTCAGACCATCAGCGCGCTGAAGGCGAAGGTCTCCGAGTTGCAGTGGAGCGTGATGAACCAGGAGATGCAGGTGAAGAGCCTGGAGTCTGAGAAGCAGGAACTCAAGGAGCAGCTGGCCTTGCAGCACAAGTGAGTGGCTGCGCTGGGGTGGGGCCCTGCCCCTTTGCCAGGTGAGCCTGCCTGCGGGTCACCCTGGGTCTAGTCAGGCTGACGCCTGCTGAGGCCCGTGCCGAGCTGCACATCCAGCGGTTACCGGCGTGTGAGACCGTGAACAGGAAGGCCTGGGCTCGTCACCCTGTGCCCTTGTGGTCTGTGCACCCAGTGTTCATGCGTGCCGTCTGCACCGAGCCCCGAGGACTTACACGTGTCCTTGGGGTCTGTCCTCCCCGTCCATAGGCTGTTGGCGGCAGACACAGGGGCCACTGAAGTGAGTATGATGAGTGTTTTAAATGTTCTGAGAACAACAGCAGGGAGCAGTCATTTCTTCCCTCCCCGGGGCCTGGGACTCCTGCTCACAGAGAGCTTCCCCAGAAGTGAGGCTTTAAAGGCTGTGTGGGGCGCCCCTGGGGCGGGTGGGGTGTGGGCCAGAGGGGCCGTACAGGTGGAGGCTGCCTTCTGAGCAGGCATGGAAGTCTGAAAGGTCAGAGGGCGGAATTCTCTCCCTGTGATCTAGGCCTTTACCTTCGCAGGTGTTGTCCTAGGAGAGCTCTGGACGCTCCTGGGTAGGGTTGGGGGCATGGGGGGGTCCATGGGAGGGGCCTCGGCTGCGGCTGTGCCAGGGGCGCGCAGCGGAGGCGAGGGAAGAGAGCTGGGGGTGTGACCCGAAGAGACCGAGGCCCCAGTGCCCTGGGGTCTGGGGGTCCACACTGGAGAGCCTCTAGGGTGAGGGCAACTGCTGGCTTTACTCCTCACCTCTGTCTGCACGTGATGTGCTTTTCTCTCGATAGGAAATGTGAGGAGGCTAATCAGAAGGTTCAGGAGCTCCAGGCCAGCCAGGAAGTGAGGGCCGACCAGGAGCAGAGGATCAGGGTGCGTTACTCCGTCTCAGGTGCAGGCTGTGTCTGGTGGACGTCCTGGTGGTGGTCTCAGCCATCCAGCCGCTTTAGCTGGGGCACGCTTCGGGCGTCCGGGGACCGTGAGCTGCCCGTGTCCACGTACTGTTGATACTGTCGCTCATCTGTGTGTGTGCCGTGCTCGGGGCTGGGGCTGCTGCCCCCCACCTCCCTCCAGCGTTGCTTCCTTGTCAGGCCTTGGCCTCCTGGCCACCCCCCGCCTCTGCTCTCCCACGTGCTGTTCTCTGGCTGTGGTGCCCGCCTGGCTCTGGCAGCTCACGGCTGTGCAGCCTGCTGGCCCTCCTCCCGCAGTGGGCTCGCCTGCACGGCACAGTGTCTGCCCTTCTCCCAGACTTAGCTGTGTCCTGTGTTGCCCTGGCCCTGCTGCTTGGCCTGCACATGGCGCAGAGCTGAGCCTCTTAATGTCTGTTGACTGACTCGGTCCTGGTCTCATGCACTGAGCTTGTTTGTTGACTTGTCGCTGACGGATGCCAGCTGTCCCCAGCGTGTCTCGAGGAGACTGCAGGTCGTGAAGGAAAGGCCGTCGGCAACGTGCAAAAGACTCACCTCTTACGCGGGCTCTAGTGTGGCTGGAGCGGGTCTGGCAGGGGAGGAGTGCTGTGTTTGACTGACGTGCTTATTCAGGGAGCCTTGGCTGCCTGTCCTTGGGCATGTGTGTGCCGGGGCCCCGCGCCCAAGGGCTGTGCGGCACCGAGGTGTGGCCCCAGCCTGTAGTGCCACGTCGGGGTGCCCCGGAGGCGAACACGGAGGACGTCGCGCAGAGGCACCCCTGGTGTATGGGCGGGACCGGGCTGCGGTGGTCAACTTCATCCTCTCTGCCCCCTGGCCTCCCTCAGGATCTGGAGCAAAAGCTGTCCCTGCAGGAGCAGGATGCTGCAGTCGTGAAGAATATGAAGTCTGAGCTGGTGCGGCTGCCCAAGATGGAGAGGGAGCTGAAGCAGCTGCGGGAGGAGAGCGCCTACCTGCGGTGAGGCAGGCGGGGTGTGGGGCGGGGCATGGGGTGGGGCAGGGCGGGGCGGCCGCACCAGGCTACCCTCCCCCTGCCCCCTCCCGTCCCCTGGTGTGTTGACAGAGGTGCCTGGTGTGTTGACGGTGTGTTGACGGACGTGTTTCCGGCCCTGCCAGGGAGATGCGAGAGACCAATGGGCTGCTCAGGGAGGAGCTGGAGGGGCTGCGGCGGCGGCTGGGACGGCAGGAGAAGATGCAGGAGAGTCTGGTTGTCCTGGAGCTGGAGAAGGAGGTGGGGCCCTGGGGACAGTGGGCTGTTCCCGGTGGGTGTCCTCTGTCTGTCCGGGGGACCCTGGGTGTTTCAGTCCAGTGTTCCAGTTCCCCTCCTGAAACGTGGAAGTGCCGGGCTGCTGGTGGGCTGAACAATGACCCCAGAACTGTGCCCAGCCTTCCGTGCGGGCCCTCGTGAGCCGGCCCGGGGTGGGGAGACTCGGCCGGGGAGCGCAGTGGCCCGGTGGTCAGGCATCCTCGCATGGGCTGGGGACGCGTGGGGGAATCAGAGAGGTGTCATGACGGGAGGACCCAACCCCCCCTGCTGCTGAGGTGTGGAGACGGAGGAGGACTTCTGGAAGCTCGAGAGGGCTGGAAATGGGTTCTTCCCAAGAGCCTCCAGAAGGAGCTCTAAGAGCGTGTGTTGTACTGTTCTCAGCCGCCCGGCGGAAATGGGAGAGCTGATACAGGTAGTGAGTCAGAGAGGAGGTGGTGTGGGACACCTGACACCAACCTTGTTTCCACCCGCAGATGTGAGCAGGTGCCCGGGCTCCATTTCTTCTGCTGTTGGACTCACAGTGGTGTTTTGTGGGGCGATGTCCGCAGGACTTGGTGCTGCAAGCATCCCGCTTCTCCCTCGTGCGCGTGCGGGGGTGCAGAAGCTCTGTCTCACCTATAAGCCACGAGGCCCTCTGTTGGTTCCTCGGTGATGGGGGTCCGTGCTGGTAGCTGCCTGCACTTGGCCAGAGGGGCCGCCTTTGGCCTCACAGGGTGGGAGCCAAGCTCCTCTAGGATGCTGGCCTCTGTATGAACTTAGCCTGAAGACGCAGCTCCAGACAGAGCAGTGTTTCTTCTCGGCAATTCTGAAATTGGTTAAGATTCTGTCTCCAGAGTCACACTGCCTCGCGTGAAATCCTGCCATGGATGCTTGGTGGCTGTGTGACCCTGGGCAAGTGACTCATACTCTCTGCCTTCTATATAATGGGGAGGAACAGTGTCTGCCTTGCAGGGTCAGGAGGGCTCAATGAATTCACGTCCTGTGCTTGAACAGCGCCTGGCCCTTGGTAGATGGTCACTGAGCATCGGCTCTAGCGACAGAGTCGTTAACCAGCTGCGCCCTGCACGCCATAGGGCCGTCAGGTGACTGAGTGAATGCAGTGATGCGAGCAGGGCGCTTGGCCCGGGCGGGGGTGGGGGGAGGCCAGACAGAAGCACATGGTCCTTGCCCTCACATTGCTTACATTCTGGAAGAGGTGGGGGGAACTCTTAACGTGGGATGTGGGTCAGAGTGTGGCCAGGCAGGCGATGTCCCCACGTTCTCCTGTTCTCCCTGTGGGGCCCCGGGCCCGAGTCAGCCATGTCAGCTGGGGGTAGTTTGGCTCTAGGGCCAAATGCGTCTGCCCTGGGGCCCCGCGTCCTGTGGAGCCCCTGGAACGTGGGAGAGGCGGTGGGTTCTTGTGGTTTCAGCGCCCAGGTCTGGCCTGGGGCGCGGGCTGTTTTTATGGGACCGCGCATGCGGCTGTTTACTACCCTTGTCCCTACTTCCCGGTGCTTTCCCTGCTGAGACTCTTACCTGACTCCGTGGGACCGCGAACACGTGAGGCCGAGCGTGCTCTTGGTGGGAGTAAGCTGTCTGCTCCGGGGCAGACTCGGAGTGCTTCCGCCTTTAGCTCAGAGATAAGAGCAGGCTGTTCTGAGGGATCAGGGAGACTTAACATCCACCTCATTGCTGTCGCCTTTGCGTAAGGCTCTTTGGTCTGGGGACTGAGGTGGGGCTGCGTGAGGAAGGGCAGCAGGCGGCTGCGGAGGCCTCGGAAGGGAGATGCTGGGGTCGCGGCGCTCTTAGCGTTCACCTCCTTGTCTTTCCAGAGGCTGCTGGCAAAGCTGCAGAGCTGGGAGCGGCTGGAGCAGACCACGGGCTTGAGCATCAGGTAGGCGGAGGGCACCACTGACCGCATGGCCCTGCCTCCCCGGCGTCGCCAGCAGCCGCCCTGCTCGAGGCTGCCGGGGCGGCTCCTGCCGGGGCCCCTGACGTCGGGTGAAGGACTTTCGCCGTGGGGGGGACGGGCCCAAGTGACTCCGCTGCCGACGTCGGAACAACTTCTTCACGTAAGGGCGGCGGCCGAGTGCTGGCAGGGGTCTGATTGCCCTGTGCCGTTGGGCTTTGCGAAGGGACTCCGTGTATGCTCAGGCAGCGGTTGCATTTGGGGCAGGCCGTTCCTTTTAGGCAAATACAAACGAGATGAACTGAGTTTTGGGGGGAAAAGGGGAAACGCCATTGTGGAGGATTGTGCCCATCAGGCCCCTTCAGCAGCCTGGGCCCCTCTGTGTCGAGCTGTTGCCAGCAGGGGAGTGGCTGGATGCAGGGGGGCTGTGGTGGGGGCTGCCGGGCGGGGAGCTGGCCTCTCGTTCTCTGCTGGGGAGGAAGGCCAGGGCAGGCGTCTTCCCGCTGCTCCCTGCCCCCAGTCCCGCACGTTCTGCCTCCCGTCCTTCTGGGGGCCCCTGTCCCTCTTTCTCCAGCATCGCTGCCTGTCCCTCAGTCCCCAGGACTCTGGGCTCCGCCGTGGACTCACCCTTCCCACAGCTTTGTCGGTATCTGGTTGGTCCAGCCTGGGAGAGGGGTGGCGGAAGATTGATCGTTCGGGATGAGTCCTTGGAGCTTCGGTGTTTCAAGAGCCGTTGGTCTGCTTGTGTGACTTTAAGACTGTAGCCTCTCGGTTTGTGTTTCGTGCTGCTCTTGGGAACTGGGCCAAGGTTGAGAACCTTCTTTAGAGAGGTGTTCTGCGGTGACACTGTCCTGCTGCTGCTTCTGGGACCTGTGGCGGTTCCGGTCAGCACTATTTGCGCTTGAACCGCACCCGCGGGACCCAGACTTGTGTTGGGCCAGCCCAGCGGGGCCTGAGTGCTCTGTGCTTCCTCCTGCTCTCTGCGCTTATTAACTCACTGGAGGGCTTTCCTCCTGCTCCCAGGGAGGCTCGTCAGAAGAGAAACCTCTGTGACTTCTTTCTTGCGCGGGAGACCGGAGGCCCACACGTGCCCAATCAGCCTAGCTGCCGGCGTGTCTGAACGCCCAGCGTGTGCCACAAAGCTCTCAACGTGTCAGGCCCGGGGCTAGGGCACGGCTGGCCGCCGTCTCTGGCCCGGATGGAAATGCAGCTACTCCTCCAGCCCTTTGGTCTCACTTCCAACCAGAAGGCCTTCCCTGAGTGTGGCTGGTGTGCAGGGAGCTGACCGCCTGGTCACCTGCTTGTGCGTGTGTGTGTCGTGTGTTCAACAGGTGGCTGGGCCCGGGTGAGGGAGAGGAAGGGGGTGGTTGGAGGGCTGTCAGACGTGAGGGGTCGGGGGTAGGAGAGGGGACTGTGTAGAGCAGAGCTGGTGTCCCTGCCGGCCCCTGGTGAGCGTGCCCCCTTCAGGTCTGTGCAGGGAACACAGTGCGGGCCTCGCTGTGTGTGTGAAGATGAGCACACTCCCACGCTGCGGGGTGGCGCTCGTGTCCCTTCTGAGCAGCCGGAGGCTTCTAGAGAAGCAGGTGGAGCATGCTTGTGGTCCCAGTCTGCTGGCACCCCTTGGTGAGAGGCTGCTGTAGGGGGGCAGGTTTTCTTTCATGTGCTTTGTCAGCCTGTCCCTGGTCCCTCCCGGGGGCATTTCGGAAACCCTAGCTCCCCTACCCGTCCTGTCCCCAGTAGAGTGCTTGGCAGGCTTCGCCTCTGGCCACTCTGCTCCGCTGAAGTGAGCACGTGTGTCATGTAACGTTGGTGGGTCACAGACCTGTGTGTCGCCTGTGGTCAGAGCCGTGTGGAGGGTTGGGTACAAGTGTAGACTCCCCAGGCCCAGTGGGGTCAGCCCGCCGGGCGCCGGACTTGCATCTTGCATGGCCTGGAGTGCTGTGAGGGGGAGTCTGGCTCTCCTCTTTTTGGTAGGTTTTGGGCAGTTAGAGGTTTCTGAGCAGGGAGGGTGACTTGCAGGAGCCCACATCTGGTGAAATTGAATATGGCGTGGGAAACGTGCAGAGGGAAATAGGGCACAGGGAAAAGCTGGGGTCCCTGCAGGAGGGGCCTGGGAGGGAAGGGTGAGCACTGGTCAGGAGCTCTGAGGCTGCTGTCTGGGTGGCTGGAGCTGCCTGCAGCGGGTCCAGGATGGGTGCCCTCCGTCACCCTGGCCATGTTCCGTGTGGCAGGGGACGAGAGCACCGGCTCAGACGCTACTGACCGATGGCTAGATGTGTGTCTGGCCCCAGCTTGGCCCTCATGTGTTGGGCGGGTAGCTTGTGCCTCATCTTCCACATCTGTTCGTGGAAGGACTTTCTAGAACATTGCTCTCTCCCCGTGGAAACATGTTCGTGTGTGGGTGTGTCCTAGTTTGGGGGCCTGCCCCCCCAAAGCATTATCAGCCAGCTCTGGGAGATGGCCGTGGCTTGGAGTCCAGCAGATGCCCTCGAAGTAGGAGCTGGAGGGGCAGGGAGGGCCTTTTGACCCGGCGGGCTTGAGTCTTTTGGCCCTTAGGCGAAAGTGTTGCTGTCACTTTGGGGCTGAAGGCATGTCACTTGGCATGTGTCGTGACTGCCGGCCCTGGCCCGCGTCAGACGTCTCCTGGGCTTTGAGGGCCGCCGCCACTAGGTGGCACCCCTTCCCCCGTGATCCTGATCCCTGCACCTCTAGAGCACTGGGGTCCCGTGGGTTTCTGGCCCCACACCTGCAGCCTGAGGCTCTTCCTGGTCCTCTGCCTCTCTGTGTGGGACTCGTGTGCTATGGCCGCGGCCCAGAGGAGCGGGGGTGTGAGGGGTCTGTGGCCTTACGGTCCTCTGCACCTGGGGGCGGCTGGCCGGCCCCTGTTGGCTGTCCCACACCTACCCTGTTCTTGACCAGCCTCTTTATGATCCTTAAATACTTGTAGTCTCTGAGTTTCTGGTGTTTCAGACCAGATATTCTCTGCACGGGCTGTTCTCTGTGCACAGGGCTGTGGCTTTTTGCAGATTCTCGGAGGGCCCTGTGGCCTTGCAGAGGTTGGGAACAGAGAGCAGGTCTGACACATGGAGAGACCAGAACTCCCTGAAGTTCACATGGCATGACTGTTGTCACCCTTCTCTCAGTTTGGGATTTCTCAGGCCCTGAGGAGCCCAGAGGTGTCAGGAGAGTTGGGTGGAGTTGGCCGGGGCAGGTCAGGCAGTGTAAACTAGTAGGGAAGGCCCTTGGCTGTTTCCTCCCCTGCCAGGCAGGCTTGTCTACCTGGACGTTGCTGGACACCTGTCTCCAGCACGCAGGCCATCTGGATTAGAGGCGGGTGGGCCTTGGGACTTGGAGAGTCCTGGGTGGGAAAGGATGCTGCACTAGGCTGGGTCGGGTGCTGTGCAACCCCGGGGAGGCTGCAGTGTGGAGGAGGGTGCATGGGTGTGGTTCTTGGGTGTCCTCATCCCAGGGCTTTGAAAGCCGAGTGAGGAGTTCAGCAGCAGCACGCAGAGGGTGCCCGGGTACGGACAGCTTTGCCCTGGGAGCGCGGCCTGGCAGGGAGGGATTTGAAGGTGCTGACTGCGTCCGTGTCAGCCTGGATGTGACTGTGTGGGGCACCGGAGAAGGACTAACGGGCGGGGGGGGGGGGGCAGCGCAGATGGAGCAGAAGGGAGCACCTGCAGCAACATAAGGGTGCCTCCCCTCAGAGCACTGGTTCGTGTGATTGTTTTAATAGAGGGGAACACACGTGAGCATCTCCATAGACGCAGAAGCATTAGTGAGAGCGCAGTACCCTCGCACGATGAAAACCTCTGAGCAAAGTAGGGGTGGAGGGGCCCCTGCAGCCTGCATGCCCTCTCCCCACTCCTCGGCAGTGGCCGTGGCAGAGAGGAAGGAAGGTGTGCAGTGGGAAGGGGGTAAAGCTGCCTCTGGTTTGAGACGAGATGATCATGCACATGGGAAGTCCCAAGGACTCTGTAAAGAGTCACTTGGAACCGGGAAGTCGGACAGGCTCCCGGTTACAAAGACAACACACGAAGGCGGACTGAATTTCTGCGTGCTGGCGGCCGGCAACTGGAAGTACACGCCCCTGACTGTAGCCTCAGAATCGTGAAATACTCGGGGATGAACTCGACGACAATCTGTGTGTTGTCAAGTGTAAGTTCTTCCTGAGAGAGACACCGTGCTCGTGGATTGGAGGAGTTCATGTTGTAGAGATGCCAGTTTGCTAAAATTGGTCCATACATCCAGTGCAATCCCAGCCAAAGTCCCAGCAGGCTTTTTTGGTAGAAACCACGATTCTGAAATTTTATAGACTTGTTTTTGAAAAAAAAAAAACAAGGGCTTACAGAGGTTGATTTCAAGACATGCAATAAACCGTATTGGTCGAGGCAGTGGGGTAATGGTGTAAGGATAGACGTATTTGTCAACGGAAAAGACTAGAAAGTTCAGGAATAATTCAAGAATATAGAGTCTGTTGGTTTCCGTGAAGATGATGAGATAATTCAGCAGGAGAGTCAGTCTTCCGCAAACGGTCCTGATGCAGTGGGATGTCCGTATGGTCAGGTGCAGATTCTCGTGTCTTACCGTTCCAGCATTGAACCAGTGGGACGTGCACCTACCTGGGGTGAAAACCAACACTTCTGGAAGGTTAGGATACAAAAGCATGAACCAAAAATGCAGAAAATTGGTAACTTAGAGTTCCCCAAAATGAAAAAATACCTTTGCTCTTGGAAAGAACAATTAAGACAAAGAAGAGGCAGACCCTCTTCTAGGAGAGAGAAAGTATTTGCAGTGCGTACATAGGCCTGACGGAAGATTCGTATCCAGGGTTTGTGAAGAATTCTTACAAGTGAAGAAGACAACAGCCAGTTTTTAAAAGCTGGGCAGAAGATGTTGAACAGAAAACTTTACAGAAGAGGGTCCGCGGATGGGAATAAGAACGTGATGCACGTTCCGCATCATTGTCGTTCCGGGGTGCAGGT